GAGAAGATTCCCCAGGGGGTAACACTCTAGAATTAAATGCCATAATGAACTTGTGTAACGAAAGAGCCTCAGCCTTTACAGCCAAAAATGAATCATGCAATAAATCAGACAGACTTACCCCTCCTCCAACAGCCCATCCCACAAGCACCTGAGAGCACAGGGCAAAATCTGGATCAGCTCCATAGCAGTCGCTGACACCACTGGGTAACACGCTGGCATTGCCGCAGGCATAGACCAGGATGTGATGGATCAGGGTTACATTATGAGGTGTTATCACGGGTGCAAACTGTAATACAAAGGACAATTCAGAGACAGTTACCTTGAACCCTGTAACTCTTTTCCAAGTTTCTGAAAGGTGTACTTAGAAGAGACCTGGTCAGAGGAATATGGGTCTGTTCTGCAGAAAGAGAAATCACCTTATGTGCTGGGCCTATGGTGGGGGCGGGGGGATTTCAGAAAGCAGTCATGTAAGCAGAATGTACATCTTCCTCTGATGTGCCTGGCACTGGGCATTGTTAGAGGCAGGACAAGCTGGGCCATGGGTTTGACCTGGTGCATGCTTCCAGACTAGAGATTTCACTCATTTTCATAGATTCATAGATTCATAGATATAGGGTCAGAAGGGAACTTGCAGATCTCCTAGTTTAACCCCCTGCCCTGGGCAGGAGAGAAAACTGGGATCAAATGACCCCAGCCAGGTAATTGTCAAGTCTCCTCTTAAAGACCCCCAAGGTAGGAGCCAGCACTACTTCCCTTGGAAGTTGGCTCCAGATCCTAGCCACCATGACACTGAAGTAGTGCCTTCTAATGTCTAGTCTGAACTTACACTCTAACAGCTTATGGCTGTTATTCCTTGTTACTCCGAGGGGCGCGCGGAGGAACAAGGTCTCTCCCATTCCCCACTGGTAAGTTTATAGACGGCCACCAGGTCCCCTCTCAGCCTTCTCTTGTGAAGGCTGAACAGATTAAAGTCCCACAGCCTCTCCTCATAGGGTCTGTCCTGTTGTCCCCAGATCATGCGAATGGCCCTCCTTTGGACCCTCTCTGTTGTCCACATCCCTCCTGAATGCTGTCCACATTCTTCCTGAAGTGCGGTGCCCAGAACTGGACACAATACTCCAACTGCGGCCTGGCCAATGTCGCATAGAGGGGGGAGGATCACCTCCTTGGACCTGCTTCTGATGCATCTGTGGATGCACGACAAGGTGCGGTTAGCCCTACTGACCGTGTTCTCGCATTGGCGGCCCATGTTCATCTTGGAGTCAATAATGACTCTAAGATCTCTTTCTGCCACCATGCTCTCAAGAAGGGAGTTTCCCAGCCTATAGGTATGCTGCTGGTTCCTACTGCCCAAGTGCAGCACCCTGCACTTGCCAGTATTGAATCCCATCCTATTCTCATTTGCCCACCCCTGTAACCTGTCCAGGTCCCGCTGTATCCTGTCCTTCCCTTCTAGCATGCCCACCTCACCCCATATCTTAGTGTCGTCTGCGAATTTAAACAAGGTGCTTTTCACCCCCTCGTCCAAGTTGCTAATAAAGAAATTGAACAGTGTGGGCCCAAGGATCGAGCCCTGGGGGAATCCACTGCCCACTTCCCTCCAGGTCAAACACGACCCATCCACCACCACTCTCTGTGTGTGGCCCCTCAGCCAATTTGCTATCAATCTGACTGTGTAGGTATCAATGCCACAGTCACCTAGCTTTTTAATGAGAATGGGGTGGGAGACAGTGTCAAAGGCCTTCCTGAAGTCCAGAAAGACTACATCCACCGCGACACCTGCGTCCAATAATATTGTGACCTGATTGTAGAAGGCAATCAGGTTGGTCTGACAGGACCTGCCCCTAATGAAACCATGCTGGTTGCCCTTGAGCATCATCCCTGCTGCTGGCCCATCACAGATGTGCTCCTTGATAATCTTCTCAAGGAGCTTCCCCAGGATTGAAGTAAGACTAACAGGCCTATAGTTGCCCAGGCCCTCCCTCCTCCCTTTTTTGAAGGTGGGGACCACATTGGCCCTCTTCCAGTTGTCCGGCACCTGGCCAGAGCACTACAAGTGCTCGTAAAGCTGCGCCAGGGGCCCCGCAATAACCCCTGCCAGTTCCCTCAACACCCTGGGGACTATAGACCAAATGGAGAAGGGATCATTGAAGATATTGAAACTCTTCTTTTTCCCTCCATTTGACACTTCAGTTAAGGACTGGAAACGGTGTTATGCCACAGCTTGGTAGATTCCAAGACTCAGCAGCCCTTGTGTACCTGAGGAGTTGGACCATGTATTTCCTTGCAAAGGCTCATCTAGACAGGATTTACTGCAAGAGCCCAATCATATGAAGTGCTGAGTTCACTCAATGACCACTAATGGCAGAGAAGGTGCCCAGTACCTCTCTGCTGGCACTTCCCAGTTGGCAGTCAGGCTTATGGTTTGCTGGGTAGTTGTCCAGACTCTTGAAAATTCATACTCTTTTATGGAATTTATTAAAGAAAGTTTGAATTTTTTTAATCTCCTTGATTTGTTCCAGAACTTTGACTTCATGCAATTCCAATTGAAAGGCTATTTTTTAAATTAAAAAATAAAAAAAAGCAAAACTGTGAGTGTTTGTAGAACAGACATAGCTGATGGAACGTCAGGATCACGTTTGGCTTATGGACCTAAACGAAAACTGGGCTGTAAAAATGTCTAGTTTTGCATTTTAAAGACAGGTTTCTAGTCATTCCTGAGGGTAAGAACTGAGGCCCTTGTATCTTTTCCAAAACTCAAATGGATCTGAAGGTTGGTCACTGTTCGCAGACATGGAGATGAAGCCAAATACAGCGGCGTGCTCCCATTGTGGAATCATCCTATTAAAGTTAACTAGATTGGCAACAGTCTTTGATATGTCCTCAGAGACTCTCGGAAATGTACAAGGTTCTCTGAAAGGCAGAGAGGCTGGGTTCTCCCAGATAGACAGACTCTGAAGGAAACCTTTCCCCTCCTCTGTTTGTTAGTACCCAGGGTACTGGGTTACCTTGTAGATATGGTGTTTCTTCTTAACCATGGGCAGTGGGAGAAATGTGCAGGCATAGGTGGTTTCTTCAACAGGGACATGAAACTGGAAGAGAGCAGAGACACACAAAACCTGTCAATCACCACCAGCGATCCAGGCAGTAACCTCCGAAGACTGTAGGAAAGTCCCAGGGAACCAGGATGAGAATAGGGCCCATCACTTCTTGGCATGAGGAGACAGGGACAATGCTCCATCCCAACTCTTGACCTTCCATTGGGGATGGACACTTTACAGCATTTGCAGTGCTGAGGCACCCTCCATTCTGTGTCTGGCCCCAAGCAAACCCTTCTCCAGCACTAAGCAATGGCAGCAATTACATGACTAGCATGTAGGTCAAAACAATAGTGCACTTTACTACTACTATCTGCCTCTCCTGACCATTTCATCCTGTGATACTGCTATGGCTCCCTCACAGATCCTTGGACACCTTTTATCCTCCCTTATTAATAGCCAACAAGACCTAAGAAAACCTTGTCTATCACTTTGTGGCCATCCTCTGCCTTCATTACACTCTTCCCTCCCAGATTCTCACTTTCTTTTCCTCCTTTGTGCAAGAAAATGTCACTATCTTCCTGAGGCAGCTCAGTGCTGGAAGTGTTCCCTTCTCTAACTCTGACTCCTGTCCTCCTCCTTGATGGTGTATGAGTTCCCTCCTCCTGCTCACAGTGTACTGATTGGCTTCATTCTTCATTGTTTTGTCACTAATAATGGCAATGTACTAAGACCTTCAGTTAATATAGCAGGTGGCATACACAATGACAGGTTTTTTTTCTAAGAGTCAAAGCCCCAAAACGGGACCTATGCCTCACTTGCCAGCCTGCCTCTTTTCCATGAGAAGCTTACAGTTTCCAGAAGCAGTGACACAAAGATAGCAATACATACCTTGGGATCGCTGCCTACACATATGCATGTGTATAAGACATTAGCACAACCCTAATGATACAACAAGCTACGAGCACTACAGAACATGCTTTATCAACTAAAATCCCCATCAGAGGAACACTCCTGAGATCTGAACCACATTTTCTGTCTGTTAGTAATTTTATTTTTGTGACAGCAATTAGTCTGATCCCTGACTAGATCACTGGGCTAAAAAAAAAGGAAATCAACCTATAACAAATGTAGCACTCAATTGCCCTCCACAAAACTACCACCTCACCCCTCTTGATGCTGTGCCTATCTGTCCATGCCCATGTTTGTCAAGGTTATCCAGGTACATCCATCTGCTCTACTGCACCCAGAGGTGCGGGAAAGAGAGAGTTTTGTGTCAAGGGGATGGGAGGTTCTGTGGTCAGGCACTCACATCAGTTAGCTTCAGGTCGTAGGTATAAAAGATTTGGGGCTCATGCAGATTTTCAGGGTTCATGAACCGCATCAAGAAGAGCGACTTGATAGACCTCTGGCCTTTGAAGAACTCGACTGTGTCGTCTGTTCCAAAGGCAGATACCAAACGCTCTGTGTCCCTCTGTAACAAAAGCAGCAGTCAGTTGAAAAAACTTCATTTGCTCACACCTGCAGCAAATCGTGTCACATTGACATCCATGCACACAGTGAACTTGCTAAAGAACCAGAACCCACATGCCAAAGCATGCCACACCTTATACCCCAATACACATGTTAAAACACAACCTGCTTATTACATGCATACAACTAAAAATACCTAAACACCTCCTAAGGTGCATATACATTACACACACTGCAACCTTGACAGGTACACATGTACATAACACACATCATATGTCAAAGCAATACACAATGCAACACCAGAAAAATCTCTTTTGTACACAGACTTGCACTCCTTTCCTATATGGAGGACCAGCTGGTAGGAAAATCTTCCAGAAATTATCTTACAAATGCAATCCACAATCACATCACACACAGCACACACAAAGAATGTTTAAAGAGCTGATGAGTAAAAGAGAAGAAGTTGAAGATCACAATAAAAATGATAAGGATTTGGTAAAATATTTAGGTTACATAGAGGGATAGGAACAGTAATCTCTCTCTCTCTTTCTGAAAGGAGAGTTGAAAAAAGTGTGTGTATGTATGTGGACACATGGTCACCCTTTCTAGTGCATGTGTGTATATGTATGTATGCACAGACATGCTAGTGGTGGTTGTGTGTGCATATGTATATACTCATGCTAATATATACATTATCTGTATTATATGCAGAGAATGACAGTTTCCTTCCTTTTGGAGACTGATTTATTATGTATGTGTGGTATGGGGGTGGGAGTGGGGGATTCTTGCTTTACCGTAATATCTCTATCATTTGGGTCACATGTGAAGCAGTAGCGCTTGAAACGCATTGTGGTGAAAGTTTCATCCTCTGTCAGCGACAGCAGCTGGTAGTCTTGGCTCTCGTCCTCCTTAATGGTTCTCTCATCCACAACGTGCCAGTCCTGGAGAAGACATAGGGAGGGGGAAAGTCCAAAAAGGAAGCAGCTTGGAGGGGAGACAGATATTTTCTCCTTGCCTCCAGATAACATTTATTCATTTCTTAGAATAGCACTGATGAGAACTGAATAATTGTTAAAATGTTTGGGCCTTTTCAAAGCCTATCAGCCTTCATTGCTGATTTCCTAAAAGTGAGGGAAAACAAGAATCACATTAGTCAGTCATAGTCAATAGACAAGTAGTGCTCTGCACAGAACTTGCTGGATACGTCCACCTTAATAGCGAGACTTTCCCACATAAGCAATTGTTGCTGTTGCCAGAAGAATGTTAGGTGATTTCCAGTCCAGCTGCTACAGGGCTAAGATCAGCACAGATGACTTACCTGCCTGGTACAGTAAATTAGCACACCATGTGCTCTGGGCTGCCACATCTGGATGTTGCTAATACCCATGCTTTTCATCTAGGTCAGCTCCACTGCACTCACAGACCCTCTGTGCTTCCCACACTATGAAAAAAATTGAGAACAAGTCTTCTCTTTGAAATGAACAAAAAGCAAAATTTCTAAGGACAGGGAAGCCTTGGTTCCCCATAAAGTTCATTATCCCACACCTATCCTATTCCAGATTGAGCAGCCTGATCTCTCTTCTCTATTATCTCTAGACTTGGGGGATATTTTTCTTGTAATAAGTACCGGCTTTTTAAATGAAGCACATTCAAAATCCATGTTCTTGTCAAATGGGTCTGCCTCTTCTGTTGATCAGGACTGTGAAAGTGTTCACATGGGAACACACAAAAATAGATTCCCTAGTCCCTCTCCCCTTCTCCCCTCTGTAAGTGTCAGTCCCAGGCAGGGGTGTATCACAGAGTAAAGGAGAACAGATTGATAGATGCTCTGTGTCACTATCTTGGCAGCATGCCTCTGCTCCTTAGGGAGGTTGGTCAAAAACCCAGCTGCAGCTGTTACTGTATTTCCTCATCGCCAGCCTGGCATTCTTTTTTGTTCATTTTCATCCCCAGTTAAAGCCTCCTCAAGATCATTCAACACCATCTCTTTCCCATTCTGGGACTCCGATTACAGAGGGAGACCATGGACTGTGAAAATGTACCTTTGTTTTCTATGTTTTTAAGTTCCCATTTGTGTTGTGCTATTCACAATGTTCAGGCAAAAATGAACAGTTCCCAAGATGAGCTAGGCAAGGTTCAATAAGGAAATCCGGCATTTAAAAAAGAAAGATAATAAGTTGGCAAAGGGAAAAAACAAAACAAAACAAACCCCTGCCCTTGTGAAGTAGAAAGAAAAATTGTTAAGATGGGTGTGGAATGGGGAGCCAGGAATAGATACAGAGACAATGAAACATTCACACACACACAAAAAAGAAAAACTCCAGCTTATATGGGAAACACACTTAAGTATCCTTTCCCCCTCAATTGCCTGTTGTTCCCTACCCCCCCGTTCAGTTGTCCCACTGATAGAAGGACTGTTCTTGTGGGGTATATAGATCTGCTGTATTGATAACTGCCTGTGCTTTCCATGTGCTCAGTTTCTGGTAGAGTTGCGAGAATGAATGGATAGTATACAACAATACATTCTCTGAAAAGATAGATTCAGAGGCACTGAATCTATTTATGAATGAGAGTTGAATTTGGTGAATAGTTTTGACAGAAATAATGGGATGGGGTGGGAGAGTTCTGAACATGTTTAAATGTTTGTTTGACATTTTTGTATTATTTCATTTTGACTTTTTAATTGTTGGGACTTTTTAACCTTTTATTTCAAAACTGCACTTTTCTTAAAATTGATTTAAATTTAAAGAAAGAAAAAGAGAGAATGAAATGGAGTAAATATGATGGCAAGGAAAGAGATTTTGTTTCAGGTTGAATGAAGTTTCCAATTGACCCAAACAATTTTTGCTTTTCATTTTATCATAAAACCTGAAACAATGCTAATTCAATTCTATCTAAATAGATTTTTCCCATAGTTATTTGGTTTAGCTACTGAAGTGAAAAATCCATTGTTTGCCCAGACCTACTTTCTGGACCTGCAAAAGAAATTGAAAAGTCTTTTGTGTCTCACTAGTGCTTTCTCAGCCATCCATATAGCATTTAAATTACATCATCCAGTGGTTTTGGGTGCCTCACAGTTTAGGAAGAAATCATGAAACATCTGAAAGAAACATGATTTGAAAATTGCAGCCACTGTAAGAAGTATTTAACAACCAAGCATGGAAAACATATCTAGTTTTAAGTTCAAACAGATACCAGCTAAGTAGAATGATTTTATTTTTTCAGCCTGCAAAGCCTGATCAATGTTATGCAAAATTGTTTCTGACTTTAGATAAAATTAAGCTTTTCAGCTTTCAAGGGAGCTTTATGATGGCTGGCAACATGATACATTTTTCTGTAAGTAACACCCAAAGCTTCACAAAGTTCCTATTCACCATATCTACTTCATAGTAAAGATGGGCCAAGAGGGACACTACATTTTTCAAAGCCAAATCCCAGACAGGGCTGGTTGAAATCTGGGTTCCCTATCCAAACTATCAGTCTTTTGGTGAGTAAGGCAAAATAAAAGCAACATTTTTTTTTCCTTCTCTATGAAGGCCAAACTGGGGTGGTTTTGATTTGGCAAAAATTAATCAACTGGGTTCGTCCTGGGAAAACTCAGAAGCAGGTTTGCACACCAGCTGCTTTTCATCTCTACTGTCAAGGTTGACAACAAGGTAAGGCTGTAGGAAATTTGATAAAATGTTCCAATTTTAACTGATCTCAGATCTGATCTCCAGAAGCTCAAATCACAGGAAGTGGAACTGACAGAACAAATGTCATCAAAATCTACAGGGACTAAACCATGGGTGATTACCCTCATCTCTTGTTTTAGCCATTGTAGGTCTTGGAGTGGCAGAGTAGGGGCATATATGTCACCATATGTTGGTAATCAAAATCCTGCAGTGCTTTTAGGGGTATTTCTCAGTGGGGAGGCATTTGAGATGTGAACCTAACTGTACACTGATTCCATGGGTGTTGGTTCATGCGTACATGACTGTGCGTCAGCAGGACCATACTGCTTCTGGAGCATCCAACGAACTGATGGTGGGGAACTGCCTCAGTCATGTATACCCTTTCAGGCTGTGGTTCCAGCCCACAGCGGTTTATGCCTACAACCCAGGGTGTTCAGAATACATAGCAGAAAGTTTTCAACTTACAGAGAAATAGATGCTGCCGTTGGGAAAGACACCACCAATCACAAGGTCAGATCCAGGCAGCTGTCCATGAGGGGTGATTCCAAATGCCACCCAGCCAGTTGACCGAACCTGTACTTCAAAGATTATCATGTCTTCATCAAGGCCCCAGGACAGGTGCACCTGGTGTGAGTGGTCCAGGAAAGTGGAGAATTTCAGTGGCGAAAGTGAGGACTGGCTCAAACAAGGGAACGGTATTGACCAAAGGAAGAACAGACTCTTGATCCACAGGAGACTCATCATCTTTCTCGGGAGCAGGGCAACCTCCTTCTCTTGCTGATCCCCTAGGCAGCTGCTCAGAGGTGACCAGATCCAGCTTATATGGGAAACTGGTGAAGTTGGGCCTGATGCCAGGGAGGAGGGGCAGTAGCTGTTGTTCTTCCACATCCAGTTTAACTGATGGGGAAAAGCTGACACTTTATATAATCTGCCCTGGCACCCAGCCCAGGGGAGACTGATATCAAGCTGCCCCTTTATGTGCTCATGTCACAAGAGTTGTAAGAGCTCTGTGGCCCCTCCTAAGAGCCAATGAGACATCTACAATCCCACTCACTACTCCTGTGGGTGCAGGGATCCTGGCTGCAGGTACACAGGAAAAGGACTCTGTTTACTGGCCCTTCCGTCTGGGGCATATATGTCAAAATGAGCACTACATTAGGACCACTCCATTGTCAGCTGCAATGACCATTTCCAGATCCAAATGAGTCCTAGCGCAGTTCCTCATCTGAAAAACCACCAGTGTGAGGGACACCTTCTATGGCAGACTCAGGAGAGAGGCAATGAGCTGCATAGACTACTTTCCCCTCCTGGAAATCATCCCTTGCTGTATAATATCCTTAGTACCAACAGCAGTTCCTGAAAAACTGTATTGAATTGACACACAGTGAGCTAGGGAGAGTCAGAGTTGCATATTTCCTACTTTTGAACTTATCCTCCCTACTCACTGGTTTGACTGAATCCTCCCTCCTGCCTTGTCTTGTTGGATCTAGGCTCCTCACTGCAAGGATGGTCCTTTACTCTGTGATCTCTTGGAGGCATGTTAGAGTCTCCATTGCTAAAAATTGTTGAGTCTGTACCAGACATCTTTCTGAAGATGTACTATTGTACAGAACAGAAGTCAGCAATGTGGGGCAGGACTTTCTGGAGGAATTCTGTGTCTTGAGTCAGGCAGAAGACAAGCTACATAATAATAGTTGTGTCTTCTGCTTTGGAATCTATGAGTCTATGCAGCAACCAGCACAGTGGAGACTCCCTTATGGGCAGTACCACAAACAGTGACAAGAGAAATAATGGCAATAATGTTGAGGAGGAGGAGGATGCACAAGGAGCCTGCCAGACAGCTGGAATTGCACTGCAGGCAGTCCTTAGACTTACAACACAATTGGTTCCTGACAGCCACCTCTTAAGTCGAAACGTTGTAACTTGGAACCAATTTTTTCATAAGAAACAATATTATAAATGGAGGATTTGTTCCTGAACCAAGGCCCAATACCCTAATTTCACCAAAAATACCCCAGAATTTTGTACTCGATCAATTATAGATGAGTATTATAACTACATTAAAGTATTTTTATTGTAAATAGAAATCATATTGACTTGGAAGGACTTCTTTGAGGTGACTTTGCTGGACTTTTTGAAGGGCTCTTGGTTGGACTTTTGAAGGGTTCTTGACTGGAGTCTTGTCAGGAGCCTTGGCTGCAGTTTTTTATGGAGTCTTGTCTGCTTTCTTAAAGAAAGTTCCAAGGCAGTTTGGACAGATGTTCTCCAGGGAGATGAGCGATGCAGCGAACTTGTTCACTGGTGTGGGGTGGCATTGCATCAGATCAAGTGTTGTAAAGTCAAAACTGACATCATAAAGTTGAAACAGGGTGTCAATTTATAAATGTTGTAAGTACAAAATGTTGTAACTTGAAACGCTGTAAGTTGAGAACTGCCTGCATGAAGTATTTTGCACAAGTGAAATTTGGGAAAAGAACATAAAGGAAAGGGTGTGTTGTCTGGTCCTTGAGCAAAGTTCTTGGTAAACAGAGTAAATAGCAGCGTGTGTGAGAGGACACCATGCAAACATTGTGACCTTACAAGAAGTCTTACAGTGTGCAGATAGTGGCCAAGCTCCCCAGTAACCGCCAGTTCAGACAGGCAGTGACTTGGATCCCTTTTAGTCTTTAGTCCCATCTCCAATTTGTTCAGTTGCATAACCCACTGTGAGCTGTTCCTCACTTTGTGACCCATTACAGAGGTTGGAGTGGGGCAGGGGGGCAGGGTGCTCATACGTGTTACAAGGTGGGTATTTCTTTCTTTACACTTCCTGGAAAGGCCTAGAAGAGCCCATCTGTGTTAATCTGAATTCCTTAAACAGACAGACAACAGAGAAGGAGGGGCCTCTAATCTGATTCTTGGGGACAGGATTTAAGTGGATCATATTCCACACGTTTTTCTTGGATCCAAGGTTGTTTTGCAGACAATCCTATTATGGGCAGTGAATGTGTCCACAGTCCCTTTTTACTTACAAAACTATACTGTTGTGCAATGCAGCATCTGTTGTATTCTCTGCTCAAGGCGGACCTGAGGCACTGCACTGTAGGTACGACACAGAGCTCAGGGACACTGGCAGACCTATTCGAGGAATTCAAGGCTGAGTTAATAGAGGATGCTACATGCAAGGGGTAGAGGGGCACTGGCAGAGCTCTGCAGGGAACCCAGGGTTGAGATAGCAGGAGGGCTGCAGGGCAGGACTGAGGGGACTATCAAAGCTTTGTGGATATGTGCACATGTACATTGATGTCTGCGCACATGAGGTTTGGGCAGACCTGCTCTAACTGTCTTTGTTACAGGTCCTAAACACTGCTGCAGAGAAGAGCAGCAAATCCTTTCCTCACATGGGGTGGAGTGTGAGATTATGGGATGCAATTGAGATGTTGTTCAAAGAGTTGTCTCTCCAGGGATTATGGGAAGCGATGATTTAGCTGTGTCATGGAGATTAGTATTGCATGGTTCTTTTGATAGAGCAGGATGTGGGCAAGACTCTGTGTCTTTGTACCAGAGCTTAGCAATGCAAGAGGTAGGTCCAGGAATAGGCACATGCCATAAAGTGACGGTGAAGATTGTGCCAAAGAAGATTATGAAATGATAGATGAACTAGATAAGAAGAAAGAGGATAAAAGCCCTCCTTTAGAAGGCTTAAGAGCTGATATCAGAGCTGGCTGTGGAGGGAAAGGAGGAGGCTCAAGTCCTCAAGGCTAACAGTACAACAGTCTTGAGGATCTGTTTTACGTAGGAGATGGAGAGACAAATACAGAAGGTTGAAGGAGTAGGAGAAGGAGATGGCAGGGATGTTTTGTCTGCCTTGACATTTGAGAGAAGCAGGATGGGACCAAAAGCTGAGAAG